AAGGGCCATGAGTAACGCTTCTGCTGGAACTGAAAAGGGCGGAGCGCATTTTCGTCGTTTCGCCTTGCCCAGAAGCTTAGTAACTGCAGCGAGCTCGTCGCAAGCCTCGGTGGCGAAGTTGAGCTGGAGGCCGCCGCTAGAGGGTCGGGGCGCGGGCGTGGTGATGGAAGTCGAAGTGGCTGCACTCGGTACCGTGGGAGGCGGTGTACTCGGCATCCGCGTAGGTGGGCACATCTCGAGGGGCATGTCGGGCTCGTCTTGGTATATCATATCATCGAATGAGACTTCGGCGTCGCCCATGCCCTGCTTGTGCTGCGGTAGTGGTGGGATGTCATGAGGCTGAGTGGGCGTGGTCGTCCCAATGCACAGGTCGTGGCCCCTCTGGGAGCCCCCGCGGGGAACTGCCTCTGGTACATGACAGCTCGGGCCAGGCTGGGCCAGGGGGTTCGAGGCGCCCAGCAAAGGAGGGGGGGCGACGAGGCGGCTCGTTGTCCGAGATGGCGCGCGGTCTGCATCCTATGTTAGATTCAGCTGGCACGAGGTCTGCGCGTGTAGGTACTTGAATTGGCGCGGGTACTGCGAGTAAGCCTCCTTCAGCGCCTGGACGTTCCAAGAATTGTTGCCACTGGTACATGCTGGGGCGGCTGCTCGGTAGGATGCAATAAAATCTTCGTCTCGCTCGTAGTCGATGTCGTAGCATGCTTCTAGTGGCTCGATGACACTCTGCCAACCGTCGGTCTCGCCATGCTTGCCATAAGTCCTCGCATTGAATATCCTTGTGCTTGTGGTGTGTGTCCTTGATGTGTCTAGTGGGCCTCTTGCTCAGTTCGCGGGTACTCGTATCTAGGTATTCGATCTCCTCCCCCAGCGAATTAACCTCCTCCATTCCAGAACGTTGAATCCGAAGAACTGCTCGTTGCTGTAGCTTGGTGAGTTTTTCGGGACGGGCCTCCTTATACCATTGTGGTCTTTGTATTTTTAATGAAAAGTGTTCCAATGCCGCATGGCGAAAGCATTGCATGGTCAGTCCTCAATGCTATGTGCCGTCCTCATATTCCAGGTATGTGTCCAGCAGCTCCGCATGGGTCGTCAGCTGGTTCTCAAGACTAGTGAGGAAAGCTTCTCGCTTGGTGCCTTCCTTTAACTCGAGAGCCAAGGCATCGCGGTCAAAGTGCTGGGTGGCCTTGCCCTCTGCGTGGCACGACGGTGGGGCCTCAATCTTGATGACGAGCGGCTTGTGATCTTTAAACTTTCTGGATATCTGCAAAGCGTAAGCTGAACGGTTCCAAACCCGACAATTCTGAATCCGTGAAATTAGACCAATGGGGATGAAACTGTAATCCGTGACCGACGCAAATCTTCCAACATACGTGGGGCCTGTGTCGTAATAGGTGTTCGCCACGGCCATGTAATTGTTCTGCGTGTTGACGTGGTAGAGCTTGCGCTTCACCCTCGCGTCCAGTAGGGAAAGGTCCGACCGTCTCGTCGCCGTCGGGTCCCCGAGCGATTCGATCGTTCAGGTCCATCATGCCGATCGGTGTAAATCTCGAGGGCGTGGACATCAGTTCAGTATTGACCCATGTTGCCAACTTGTTCATGGTGGCCCGCCACTGCGGGACCCTCTTCTTATCCCATGGGGGTGGTGGAGAATATGCCACGATAATCTTGAGCTTGGTGGAGCCCTGCTCGATCGTGAGTGCTCCCCCCCGTCCTAATAACTCCTGCGGCGGGCAAGTGATTTCCTTGATGTGCCGTGTCTTGAACCTCGAGTTCAGAAGGATCGCGCAGCCCGCGGAGTTGTTGGTGTGCATGCTGGGTTTGCCATAGCCGAGGTGAACTGCTGTGTGATGGTCGTACTGCTGGGTGTGATGAGCACTATGGGGATGCTTCGGGGTCTTTGTGCCAGGGCATGCGACGATGTGAACCTGCTTCAGCTGTGCACTGACCTCCTCGTCACGGGTGCCCACGAGACTGAATGTGTTGATAACCGCGAGTGACAGGAAGGAGACTCGAGCGGCCATCGCGCCACGGCGCCCTCGGGAGCACGACCGCAGCGGTGCCATCATCGTGTGGCAAACATTTGGAGCCCGCCTGGTGCCTCCACCAGCCCCGTCGACATCGCCAGAATCGAGAGGGGCTTATACATATAGATATGTGTATATATATATATATATATATCGGTAGGTGTATATGTATATGTATATGTATATGTATATGTATTGTATATGTATATGTATATTTATATGTTTATGCTTATGTATATGTAAGCTTCTATGTATTTGCTTACACGCAAAAAGACTGCATTGGCGATTCGCGCCATGCACCTTAGTCCTTGAAGTTTGGCATGCAGGTGGAAGGACAGGCAGGTCAAGCATATACTTCAGCGATAATTCCTTGGTGCCCTTTCCAGCATCGCCGTCATAATATTTTTTTCATGATCCTTCCTCCATGCTTATTTTTCCTCATTATCGCCCTACCCTGCGAATTCTTTCCCATCCTCCTCAGCTCTTTTTGCGGGTGCTCCTCCTTGGAGAGCCTCTGGGGGCCTCCCGGAAGTTTTGAAGGCTTTCTTAAGGCCTTCTGGAGGCCTCCTGGGCGTTATCTGGGGGCCTGTGGGGGCTTCCTCGGGCCACCCCCCCTGCAACCGGAGCCTCCCTGAACGACCAGGTCACGATTCGGAATGCTTCGGAGGGTGTGCTGGGGCCATCTTGGGCCGTCACGGGGCTCTCTTAGGCCATCTTGGAACTTTGTTGTGCCGTCTTGGGGCTCTCTTGGGCTGCCTGGAAGCCCTTTCGGATGGTTTTGGGTCGATGTTCGGGCCTCTCAGCAGACCGCACGCTAAACGAGAGGCCCCAAGCATCTTCCAAGAGACGCCCGAAGAGGCATCCGGCGAAGCGCCAAGAGAAGCACGTAGGAGAACCAACGGGAAACCACTACGATTGACTCCCGAGGCCTTTCGGCTTCAGGTGGCCTCGGAAACGCCCCAAGGAGCCCCAGGACGCCCGCAAAGCGGCTCACACCTGACCCAAGATAGCCCCCAGGTGTCCCGAAGACAGCTCCTGAACCCTCCGAGACGGCCCAAGATGGCTCCAAAACGGTTCCCAGACCGAGGGAACGAGGTCGAGCTTAAGATCCACGCGAGCTCAGACCGCGCGCTAAACGAAAGACCCCACACATCTTCCGAGCGACGCCCGAAGAGGCATCCAGCGAAGCGCCAAGATAAACACGTAGGAACACCAACGGGAAACCAATACGATTGACTCCCCGATGCTCTTTGGCTCCGCATGGCCTCGGGACCGCCTCACGGCGCCTCAAGGCGCCCGCAAGATGGCCCAAGCGAGCCCCCAAGTGGCCCGAAGGCTGCTCCAGAACCCTCCAAGACGACCCAATACGGCTCCCAGACCGAGGAAACGATGTCCAATTTAAGACCCACACGAGTTCAGACCGCGCGCCAAACGAGAGGTCCCAACAATCCTGCAAGCGACGCCCGAAGAGGCATCTTGCGAGGCGCCCAGAGAAACATGTGAGACAACAGACGGGAACCACTACGTTTCACTCCCGAGGCCTTCTGGCTTCACATGGCCTCGGGAACGCTTCAAAGAGCCCCAAGACGCCCGCAAGGCGGCCCACACCTGACCCAAGAGACAGATGGCCCGAAGACTGTTCCAGAACCCTCCAAGACGGCCCATGAGGGCTCCAAGACAGCTCCCAGACCGAGGAAACGATGCTCAGTTGAAGATCCACGCGAGGTCAGACCGCGCGCTAAACGAGAGGCCCCAACAATCCTCCAAGAGACGCCCGAGGAGGCATCTTGCGAGGCGCCAAGAAAAACGTAGGACAACCAACGGGGGACCACTACGCTTGACTCCTCGAGGCCGCTTGGCTTCAGGTGTCCTCGGAGACGCCCCAAAGAGCCCCAAGACGCCCGCAAGACGGGCCACAACTGTCCCAAGAGAGCCCCCAACTGGCCCGACGACTGCTCCAGAACCCTCCAAGAAGGGCCAAGCTGGCTCCAAGACCGAGGGAACGAGGTCGAGCTTGAGACCCATGCGAGTTCTGATCGCGTGCTGAGCTGGCGTGCGTTGTAAGTTCAACCTCGTTGGTGCGGCGCTGCTGCGTTGGCACGGTGGCGGGGTTCGCCGCAGGCAGCAGGATCAAACTAGCGAACCGTTAGTGCGCGCACTCTTTGAGGAATTTTGGCGGCCTTGACTGACTGAAATCCTTCTTGAAGCCGCTCGGAGGCTCTCTTGGGGCCTCTCGTGCGCTTCTCGGCACCTCCTAGGGCCTTTTGGAAGTATATGCGGCCGCTTAGGGAGTCTACTGAAGCTCCATCGGGCCTCCTTGGTGGCGTCCTGGCGTCCTGGCGTACCCTGGGGCCGTCTGGGCCCAGCTGAAGGTCCAAGACGCCCCCTTCAGAAATACGACGTCGCCCCCTCTGGTCGGCATCCCGAACGCCTTGCCTGATCCAACTAGGATCTGTTTCGCGCTTGCGGCCATACGACTGATTCGCGCTCCTGGGGCAACGCCCAATAGCCAAGACAACCCGTCCTTGCTCTCAGGTGGCTTCCAAGCTCCCGGGGCCTCGCAACGCTTCCAAGGGCCCCCCCAGAGATCCACATAATCTTCTCATGGGTCGCAAGGCCTCCGACATCTTCTCAGAATCTCTTAATGTCCCCCCGCGCCTCCCGAGATCACCTGGAGCCTCCCACGCCCCCCCCAGGCCTTCTCAAGACCACCCAGGACCTGCAAGAATCTCGAAGACCCTCCCTGGAAACGACAAAGGCCTCGCGCGGCCTTCCTGGGCCTCTGGTCCACCCACTCTCACATTGGACATCGCGTCGGTCAAAATCAGCAACGCAATCTTTTCAAAACGTCTGACCTCAACGTCCGCCAGTGTGGGAGTGGGCCAGGCCTAACAACATTAACATATTTCTTGGCGACTGCGTTTGTTGTGTCCTCCAAGCCCCTCCACAAGAGCGCCTACCTGCTCGTTGTCTTTTTTGGGCCGCAAGAGTATCGTCGTGGCGCGCGCTGTTCCAACCAAGAATCACATATCCAGAGAGCGAGGCATATTGGGAATAAACGCGGCACGGCCGATATAACCAAGGCTTAGAATCGCAGTGCCCCAGGTCAGCCGTTAGCTCGCCCGCGTCCGCCACTGGTTCAAGACATGCCAAAGGTGTGCAGCCTTCACGCTCGAATGGAACGCGACAAGCCAACCAAGTCGAAATGATGTCAAGACCTCTTCCGAACAAGCGATATCTTCACATCATCTTTCGCAGTGTCAGTGGCTGTCTCCTGTCCCCTTTTAACCAACTGCGGGGTCATCCGAAATAATCCTCCAAGACTGCGGTCACGGGCGAGAAAGGCAGTTCTCGGTGCGAAAACACCTCCTCGGCCTCCTCCAGCAGCACGCCCAGTTCATGCCAGAGAGAGCCACAAAAGACCTGGTCCTCAGTGAACGCGTTGAGCTCCTCGAACTGGGAGAAGCTGCGCCTCTTGAGGTTGCAGGAGCCAATGTAGCCTGCGCGGTTTCTCGGGCCTCCCCCTCCCTCTGCCACGGCCGCCTTGGCATGCACCATCTCCTCGTGCAATTTGAGAGTCAGCAAGCCGCAACCCTTCCAACGACTCACGAGCAAGCCAAGCGTGCGCGCGTTGCAGTCCTCTCGAGGGAACAAGAAGCAAGCGAACGAACAACCGGACACACTTACCCCATCCACGGGAGCCGCCTAGAGGGAGGGGGAGGGGGAAACCAGACTTGGGGAGGGAGGTTGATTGCTGGAGAAGCGGGCCAGGCGAGCCCTGCTCATGAGCGACGATCCTTGTACACGTTCGGCATGCGTGGCAGTACCAGCTGCACGCTTGCGCCCCGAGACAACGCGCATGCCAACAACTCGAGCCCCGAATCGTCGATGTACGACGCCACGACGCGGTACCTGACCAAACCTTCATCCGCGAAGAACCGCTCCATGCGTGCCCCGAGGTCGAAGACTCCCGCGAACGGGCGGCGGAGAAGCCACGCAGGCCAGTCCCAGGCATCGGGCTTGTTGGTGACGAACTGAAGCCGCCGAAGACCCAGGGCCTCCCCCGGCCCCCGCTGTGGGCGGGGCCAGTCGAGCGACTCTAGCAGGGCGTCGACGCCCCGGTCTCCAGACACCACGACCGAAAAATCCCTCCAGCTGCGGAACCGATCGCCTACGTTGATGCCGCCGAATATCGCCACGTCAGCCTGGCCCCTTCTGCGGAAAAGCAACAACTTCACGTGCGTCGGGAAGTCCGGAGGCTCGAACGCGACGTGTTCTGGCATGGACTGGCTCAAATCCTGGAGCCTGTCTATCAAGGTCGTAGTTCCCTCGCAGAACCGGGTGAACCAACTGAATGCGCTAGTGTCGGTGCGAAGCGTGATCCTGACACCGCGCCTCGCGGCAGCCGCAAGCTCTGCGATCAGCTTCTCACTTGTATCCCCAGGCTCGAACACGAACACGCTGAAGAGAACGTGGTCCCCAGGGTGGCACACCTCCAGCTCCCTCCGGGCCCTAGCCAACATCGC